TCAGCATTGTTAGTCATCATAAGTGTCATATATGATCCTTCAGTAATTAATAAAATAAAATAACATACTATTATCAGTGTTGAAAACAGCCATCCTAATAAAAAGAACTATTACTTTCATTCAAAAAAGCCAAACAAATTAAATAAATCTCCATTATGATAGTGTCATAAAGATGATTTATGCATGATGACTCTTATTTAAGTAGTTTTTATTTTTTCTTAGCAGAAAAGGCCCATTCAGATCTCATTATCATTATCTCTGCATCATCAGAGATTCTGTCAGTCTTATAATGAACATTTATGTTTAAACATTTGCTATTTTACCCAAGTCAGCTTTGTTCAGTAGACATAATTCAGTACATACTAATTCACGCCGACTGGTTTGGTGTAAAGTTGGTCTCTAGCAGCACCCAGTGGCTGAGACTGAAACTGTCCACTTACAATAATATACAGTATTATCTATGTAATATCACAACCAATACAGTACATACGGCACAGACAAAAAGACATGACTCGCAAAAAGCCCTCAGAATCCCCCCTAGTCCCAAATAAACATAAATGTGTGTATTCTTTCCAGTGTTTTGTTGAAGTTTGCTCTTGCTGGCCTCTGGATATCCTATACTCTCCGCTAATGAAATTATACAATTGATTGTTTTGTGCTGCCAAATGTGGGAGACGTGTTAGAAATGAGTTATTGTGCGAGCGGACAAAAGCGCTGAAATATCAGTAGTTAAGTGGTGCTGGTAATTGAATTCCTCATGAAACTGCTATTGATTAGAGCATCTTCTCTCCGGAGAGAGCGAGGATTATCATAATTACACGGCAGGACAACACACACACACACACACACACACACACTTTATATGAGGCATACATGTGGCTGCATTGTAAACTCAGCTGTGTGAATGTGCATGCATTATTATAAGAAATGTTGTGGATTTAATCTGTCAATGGTCAGATTTTACTATGTGTACAGGATAATTGGGTCATAAAAACTTGAGGATTTAGAGGATGGCCTATTGCATGACTGAATATGAGCTACTTATTTGCACAGCATGTTGGCAGTGGTTGGCACATGTCGCCTCACAGCAAGAAGGTTGCTGGTTCGAATCACGGCTGGGCCAGTTGGCATGTCTGTGTGGTGTTTGCATGTTCTCCCTGTGTTGGTGTGGGTTTCCTCCGGGTGCTCCCGTTACCCCTACAATCCAAAGACATGCTCTATAGGTGAATTGAATAAACTTAATTGGCTGTAGTATAGTTTATTATTATTATTACTATTATTATTATTATTATCATCATAACTTTTGTATCATTAAAAACTGCATATTAGCATATACATAGCTATTATTCGGTAAAATAAGTCACACACAGGATATAGTAGTTAAAACAATATATTATTATTATATACAACTTTTAAAATGTAATGTTATCATTATTTTTACTACATAAAACATGATACTAAATTAAAAATACAAAAGTTACATATATAGATAACATATTTACAAGTATATAAAAACAAAGTTTATGATTATTTATTACAAACTATGATATGGTAAATAATAAAGTGTTTAGGAATCACTTAAACCTATGTCAATATCACAGAATGCTTATTTGAATAATTAAATATAATGTTACATACAATTCTATAGTATTCATATTTAAAGTAATAAACTAATAACATTAATGTATAATAAGAGTTACATTTAAAAACAAGATTTGCTAAATTAACCAAAGCAAAAAAAGTGTATACCATATTTTAATAAAAATCTCATTTTAAATAGATGTGTGAATATTGTTGCTTTCAAAATTATGTAGTAAGATATTTATTTGAATAATTGAGTACAAATAAATTAAAGGTAAAAATTTTTATAAAATTATTAAAAGTAGATATTAAAAAGTATAGTGGAAAGACAAATGTTTCAATTAAATTATTATTATTATTATTATTATTATTATTATTATTATTTATTTATTACATTATCATCTGATGATTATTATTGATCAAACCACTTCTCTAATAAACAAGTCATTATTAAAACTATTATTATTATTATTATTATTATTATTATTATTATTATTATTGATGAAAATTATCATCTGATGATTATCATTGACCAAACCACTTTAATTTTTTAAGTGATTATTAAAGCTGCTATTATTATTATTATTATTGTTATTATTATATTGTTATTATTATTTAATTATTATGTATTATTATTATTATTATTATGTATCATCATTATAATCTGATGATTATCAATGATCAAATCACCTATAAAATAATAAAAATAAAGTATAAAGGAGAGCTGTGCCTTTTCTACAGTTGTGTTGTATGAGTCAGATCTGCAGTGATTGTGAGGGTTTTGTCCCTGAAGCTGCACATTGACCTGTGAAATGAGCACCTCTGTCCTCAGCAGCTGCTCTGTCTCTTCTCTCCATTGCCTTCATCTCTCCATCCTCCTTTTGACCCCTGTGGAGTACTTTCTGATGCGTTTTGGTGTGTTGGCCCTGGGCCCCGTGTCAGGGGGCCACAGTTCACTGACATTCAGACTCACTGTAGAGACTGCAAGGGTGGCGCGAGCAAAATCATCCAGTGTGTGTTCAGACGGGACTTAAACAGCTGTTACAAACACAACCCAAAAACCCGCTGCACGCTCAGCCAATGGAAGAGCTCATGTCCTTCCAGCCACCGGAACAAAAGACAGAGCATTTCTAATAGCAGACACAATCCTCAAACTCCACCAACATTCTGCCTGATGCTCAACCACTCTGACCTTGTTCATTTAAGATCCGTCAGCTGTCGGTTATGGATGAATTCACAGCCTTAGACTGAAAATTATGGTAGTGCTGAGACTATACTTTTATTTTCATGTGTATATATTATTTACATTTTTACAGTTCTTTTATGGCTGTATAAATTATCTTAGAATATTATATTTTGGGTTTTTATGTTATTTATAATTTGTAAATGTGTAATGTGAAGTACAGTAATTGTTTAAAGCTACAAATTACCTATAAATCTTGTCTAAATTATGTTTTATATCTACTGTATAAATTGTCTGTTATCGATTTTTGATTTGTGAATATTTTTAAAAGTTGGCCTATTTGTGACATTGAATTTAATGATTCAAGTATTAATAAATATATATTATGTTAAGGCAATATAATATAATATAATATAATATAATATAATATAATATAATATAATATAATATAATATAATATAATATAATATAATATAATTATATAATATAACATTAGTATATGACCCTGGACCACATAACCAGTCATAAATGTCTTTATTTTTACTTTAATTTCTTTTACTTCTGCTAATGATTTTTGGCACAAAAGAAAATCTTTTTTGACCCATACATAAAACCCAAAATATACCCATGCGATATAAAGACTAAAGGTTTTGTGATCCACCATATAACGTGTATTGTTCTATATTTTTCTTTTCTTTTAGTTATTTATAAAAATTGAATTGATTTATATTATAGTATTAAGTCTAAACCTAAACTAAAAATACTAGATTTGAACTGCTTTACAAAAACTTTGAGAAATATTATTGCATTTTGATACTGTTTATTTCTTTTATATATCAATGCAATTAAATAATAATATTCATTCATTTTCCTTCGGCTTAGTCCCTTTATTTATCCGGGGTCGCCACAGCGGAATGACCGCCAACTTATCCAGCAAATGTTTTATGTAGCGAATGCCCTTTCAGCCGTAACACATTACTGGGAAACACCCAGACACTCTTTGGCATTCACACACACTCATACACAATGGCCAATTTTGTTAATTCAATTCACCTATACTGCATGTCTTTGGACTCTGGGGTAAACCGGAGCACCCGGAAGAAACCCATACCAACACGGGGTGAACATGCAATCGCCACATAGAAACGTCAACTATTCCAGCCTGGACTCGAACCAACAACCTTTTTGCTGAGGGGTGATAGTGCTAACCACTGAGCCACTGTGCAATCTAAATAATGATATATATAAATATGTTTTAATTAATTTATATATTAATGTGGATCGTTTTGTTTATTGTTATATTATTAAACCTAATAAGGATATTGTAGACCTAACACAATATACACAAAACATGCTGATTTAAAATAAGTTTGACATTAAAACAAAGCAAATAGACAAAGATAAAATTAATTTCTGTGGTAATCTGGTAAACTAGGTAAACTGTTTCAGGAAATAATAATCAGTAATCGTTAAATAGCTAATAATTAGTAATGGTTAAAATTAAGTCAAAATTGAGATAAAATGTTGGACGCACTTATGAAAACTAACATTAACTATTACTACATGTAAAAATAAATATCCAATATATTAAAAAAACAGAGACAATAAACAGTTGAAGTCAACATTATTAGCCCTACTGTGAATTCTTTTTCAAGTATTTCCTAAGTGAAGTTAAACAGAGCAAGGACGTTTTCACAGTATTTGCTATAATAGTTTTCTTCTGGAGAAAGTCTTATTTGGTTTGTGTTGGCTAGAATAAAAACAGTTTTACATAAAAAAAATAAAAATAAAAAGACATTTTAAGTTCAGTATCACTACCCGCCAATATTGGTTTTCGAATGCCTACAGAACAAACCTTTATTATACAGTGACTTGCATGATTACCATGACTAATTAACCTAGTTAAGCCTTTAAATGTCACTTTAAGCTGAAAACTAGTATCCTGAAAAATATCTATAAAAAATGATGTACTGTCATCATGGCAAAGATAAAAGAAATCAGTTATTAAATGAGTGATTAAAACTATTACATTATGTTTAGAAATGTGATAAGAAAAACGAATGGCGGAACAATATACAGGGGGGCTATTAATTCAGAAGGGCTATTAATTCTGATTTCAATTGTATATCATGCATCCCTCAGAGCAATAATCTGCTTTTTCATCAGAACAAAATAGAAAGCCATAAAATCCACATTAAAAGATTTATCTTTGTTGTTGTTTTGCTTTCCTGTCCAGGAACAAACGTCCATGAGGCGAAGCGTATCCTGTCTGAGAGCGGTCTGCCCATCACCTCAGCCACTGACCTCGATGATGCCGCCCGCAAAGCTGTCGCCGCCATTGCCAAGAAATAAATGCAAATATTCATAATGCACATTCACACAACAGACATACCAATAAACAGAATCACCAACAGAGCTGCAGACAGAAACAAACAGAGCCATACACACTTCATTCACTCACACACGGCTGAACAACAGCTACTTATATATACAGTTTTTTTTTTTTTTTTATGGACAGAACGTTTTCAGGGACATCTTACGATTGCTGGGTTGAGATATTTTTGTCATCCAAATGCAGCCATTTCTGTAGCTCAAATATTTTCAGAACATTCATTGCCTTACTGTATGCCTTTTTATGCAAAGTTTCATATACCGATTATAAGTATGGATTTTTATTTTTAATTAAGCTTTGAAATGATTAATAGTAATAGCTTAACTGCATTCCACGTGAGTTCTAATTCCGTTCTAGTTTTTATTTGCCTTAAGTAAACCATAAACCATTAAAATGCCGTGTGGTGGAATTGCCTCATTTTTGTATGATTGAACTGTGAAGTACATCTTAAATCTGATATTGATTTCCTGATCTCCATATGATATCACCGTCCCTATTTAACTTAAAGGTTTATCTTGTTTATAAGGGTGTGATAGAAATTTTTTATTGGTATAAAATGTAAAACTCTACATGCCTGTAATTCCCCTGCCTAATTGGTTATTGGATAGTAAATTAATTATTTATAAAGTTTCTAGATTACATAAAGAAAATAAATCTGTTATATCTGTATGCATCATGGTTTATATTTGCATTAGTTTTTTTTTTTTCTTCCATAATGTTGGTGTAGTTTTTATACTGTGCCTGTCATGAAGATGTTTTAAAACCTAAAGGCCCATAATACATGTAATTAACTTTTTGTAATCTTGAATGTATTTTCAAAGTTAATGTACATTAAAAATGAGTCAAAATGTTTAGAATAAAAGAAGATTTGAATGATATATTCTTTCTTTCGTTCTTTTGCCTTTCACAAATTCAGTATTATCTCAGAAAGTATTGTGTTCTGTCAAGAAATCTTCCATTCTTCTGAATAAATACAGTTTACTCAAGAAACGAAAAAAAACCCACTGCATTCCCACGAAAAGGTTATTGAAATAAAAAGTATATTTATATAATACATTTATAAACTGCTGCTCTGATGATTTAAAATGCTTATTTTATGCTGACTTGTAAGTTTTTTGAATAAAAGCGTCTGCTAAATAAAAGCATGTAAATATAAAAATGCTGAAATATTGTGTTCACCCTCAAAACAACTTGTGGTCCGAAATATTGTGTTCCCTTAAGAGCAATATGTTCCTTTTGTGTTAATTCGTAAATGTATTGTGTTCCTTCAAGAAACTTTACATTCGGTGGAAAACAATGTTCTCGCCAAAATATTAAATTCCCTTGAGATGTTTGTGAATAATTTCCTTGCTACAGTATAGCATTTTCTTAAGAAACTTTGCATTCTCTTGCAATAGGATAGCATTTCTCCCAAATTGAATGTGCAGCTTTAAGTGTAACTCAAAATTATTGTGTTTGCTTGAGAAACAATGAATTTCTTCGGAAAAGTATTCACACACATGATTTTTGGGTTCTTTTGCCAAAGTATTGTTCCACTGAGAATCTGCAAAACATGATTTTATGTTAAAATGTATTATGTGTTGCCCTGAGAAATATTTTTTTTCTGTAAACATTTGAATTATCTTACAAAAGTGTTATGCTTCTATGACACTACAACTACCAAGGCAGTCATGTTGAATAAAAGTTGTAATTTATCAACTTTGTTAACAAACCATATAACTTTAGTACCCTGACTTTTTCCTAAATATGTATACACTACCTGACAAATGTCTTGTCGTCGATCCCAGTTGTAAAAGCAACAAATAATAACTTGACTTCTAGTAGATCATTTGGAAAAGTGTCAGAAGGAAGATTTTTCTGATGAATCGTCTGTTAAACTGCATCCTAATCATCACAAATACTGCAGAAAACCTTTTGGAACCTGCATGGACTCAAGATTCTCATAGAAATCAGTCAAGTTTGTTGAAGGAAAAATCATGGTTTGCTGTTTACATTCAGTATGGGGGTATACAAGAGATCTGCAGAGTGGATGGCAACATCAACAGCCTGAGGTATGAAGACATTTTTACTGCTCATTACATTACAAACCACAGGAGAGGGCAAATTCTCCAGCAGGATAGCACTACTCCTCATACTTCAGCCTCCACATCAAAGTTCCTGAAAGCAATGAAAGTCAAGGTGCTCCAGGATTGACCAGCCCAGTCAACAGACATGAACATAATTGAGCATGTCTAGGGTAAGATGAAGGAGGAGGCATTGAAGATGAATTCAAAGAATCTCGATGAGCTTTGGGAGTCCTGCAAGAATGCTTTCTTTGCCAATTCTAAATTAAAAATATAATATATTATTTGATTATTATTTGAGTCATTGCAGAGATGTATGGATGCAGTCCTCCAAACTCATAGGAGTCATGCACAATAATAATACTTTTTCCACTGCACCATAATTCTATAATGTACATTATTTGTTAAGTGACAAGACTTGTCACTGTTCTAATTAAATAAATACAAATCAAGGCATGATCATATTTTATTTTGGTAAAATAAGCGTAATCTAGAGACTTTTGCCTTTTATAAAAGCTACTTCTGATAGCAAATGTTCAACTAGAGGTCAAGTTATTACCTGTTGTTCCTAAAACTTGGATATACGGCAAGACTTGTGTCAGGTAGAGTACATTACACTTAATTCTAACAATGCAAGTTCTGAGCATTTCAATGTTGAATCGAGCATTTAAAAATCCTAGAAACTTTCTGCTCACTAAAAACCTTGACAGCAAAAACTAATGTTTACCTCAAACATGTCTTTCAAAAAAACATTTGCTCTCATGCTTGCAGACAAATCGAAAAACATGTTTGCGAATATGACAACATTCATTCATTCATTTTCTTGTCGGCTTAGTCCATTTATTAATCCGGGGTCGCCACAGCGGAACGAACCACAAACTTATCCAGCAAGTTTTTGCACAGCGGATGCCTTTCCAGCCGCAACCTCTGGGGAAACATCCACACACTCATTAATACACACACTTGTACACTACAGACAATTTATCCTAATCACTTCACCTGTACCGCATGTCTTTGGGGTAAACCGGAGCACCCGGAGGAAACCCACACAGGGAGAACATGCAACTTCCACACAAAAAACACCAACTGAGCTGAGGCTCGAACCAGCGACCCAGTGACCTTCTTGATGTGAGGCGACAGCACTACCTTCTGCGCCACTGCTTCGCCAATATGACAACATTTAGAGGTTAATTCTGAAACATCAGTAGAATAATATGAACAATAAGAATGATGGCAATGGCCATTCTAGTAGTTATCAATTTGTTTTAGGTAAAAAGTTAGCACGAAAGTATTGCATTTCCCTGAGCAATATCTTTAAACATCTGTATTCTTTTGCAAAAATATTGCATTTTATTTGATAGTCTTTCATATTATTACATAGACCTCTGTCTCTGCCTGTAAATCAGTATCATAAGCAAAAATGTGTATTTAAATCAGTAATAACAATTACAGCACTATACTGTGTGTGAATGTGCATTCACAGGCGTTTTCTGAAATCTATCCTTGTCAGCGGGTTGGAACATTTAATGGATTATCTGTCAAGCAATGTGAGAGGACAGCCGGACCGGATCAAGTGCCTCGAGCAACTTTTTCTTACACTTTTTTTTCAATCTGCCTTACGCTCAATTCTCACTCTTCAGTCTCGCAGTCGAATTGATCTGTGAGCCAAAAGCTGCGAGGATGCCAAAATCAACCCTCACGGCTTGCAAAGTGCTGGTTTTTGGCCCAGTAATGTCATGTCGTTGTGTACTTATCCATAAAAGTTGCATGTGAAGGTGAAGTGTGGATGGGTGTAAATCAAGTAGATGGTTCAATAATTGCCTATTTCAAGCTCTTCCTTCAGCGTGTCAAATACAAGTGTGTTGATGGATTAGACTGTGCTGTTCGAGTCTTGTTAGAATATGCTCTTGTGGCGTCATTGTAGAATTCAGAGGTCACTGAATGCCTGTGTCGGGGAAAGTAAATGCAATGAAAAAAAATGAAGGTAACACTTTATGATAACGACACTCTATGAACCATTTAATAAGCATTAGCAAATTCATAAATTCAAATCTGTTAAGCATTAACTCTACATAATAAATGTTAATAAACAGTTTATAACTGCAGCTACAAATGCTGTATTCTGACTTACAAACACATTTATAATGTGCTTAATACTTGTATTTTCATAATTTATTGATTCATTTTTCATTAATAAATTAAGTATTGCATTATTTACAAACCAGTTATTTAAGAGTAGTTGGCTGTTTTTTAAGATCAGTCAGAATTGGTTAGTAAATTATTAAGAAATTATTAAAATTAACATTTATATCTTTTTATTCAGGCATATACTAATAGTTAATTTGTATGTGAATACATGCTTTATTAACTCAACTTCATGCAGTCGTGTGACCTAATCTAAAGTGAAGACTATTAATGGCTGGATTCCTATAGATTTGATTTTTGATCTCTATGGAAGTTTTGAAGTGTTAGAGTTTTGAACAAATAAACTTTGTTAAAGGATTATCAAAAGTCTTATACTTTTGAAAGGACATAAGGGTGGGTAAAAAATGACAGATTTTTTCATTATTATTGTGAGGTGAACTAAATTTAAGATGATACTGACTGTGAAGTCCATGGATAATAATAGCTAGCTGTCACATTGTACTATGAAAGCCATTCCATATCCTATTCTCATTATGTAAACTGCATTTTAAAAAGCCATCTTTCTTTACATACACCCTTGTAATTGTTCACTTGCAGTTTTCAAAGGATTGCGGTCACTTTTTTTCCTCAGAAAGGATGTCAAAACGGTAATTGCCACTTTGGGAATCTGTCTTTTGAGTTTAGCGTGAAACTGATCGCCAGCCTCTACGTAAAATACGCAATTTTCTCCCTGGACAGTAAGGTCAAGTCATCCGTTCAAGAATATTGGTTATTTATTGTGTCATTTAGTGGTAACAGCCACAAATTTATTAGCTCATTGCTGGTAGATGGGTTATCGCTATTGTATTTGGCTTGTCAGGCAATGGGGTATTCACTCATTATCTGCTGCCAGTTCAGTACGTTATGGTCTAATATTGACGTCTAAAGCTCCTCCGTATGAGTTTAGTATAGAAGTAGCATTTGGTACTTCTCAAGTTCAGCTAGAAGTTTCCAGAAAACATGCCTGTGGAATAAGTCTGCCAGTCTTTCCTGACCTCTCACCGTCCTTGAGCTTTAGGAGGTTTTGTCATCTAAAGGATTGCCTTCTGTCACTGTAAAACTTCATAAAGCACCTCGTCTCATGGATTTCTGCACGCCATTATTGCGGAGAGCCATAAAAGACAACGATGGATATGTTTTACAACAAAGCTGAAGGAAAATGTTGGCCGAAAGCGCTCTCAGGTGGTTGATTTTGTTATCTAGTCTAGTGCTTTATATTCAGGTCTCATGGTTTGGCCATATAGCACAGATGGGCCAAGAAATCCATTTCCCTCTTATAGAATTGCAGCCTGGGTTTCTGTAATTGAAGCACTTTAAGATCGATTTAAATTACTCTCTTTGTCTGGTTAACACGGAGTGGAGTTTTAAGGTAGAGGATCGAATAGAAAGGAAGTTACAAAACTGACACACTTGACTGCCTCTTTTTAAATTAATGTTTGTAAATTTATTTGACTTTCTTGGGTTTTGAGTTTTAACATTTCTTTGTTTTTAACACTACTGTATATTTGAGTTTTGTTTTTTTACTTCTGCAATAAACGATTGAATATAAGTCAAACTCTTCTGCATGAGTGTTTCTAACACACTAAGGAAGTGACAGCAACTTCTATGACATCTATGTTCTCACCAACATA